TTCAATCAAATATTTGTATACTTCTATTATTACATAAATATTAACACAGTTTTTTTTTCAGTATCTCCACTAATTTATATAGTATTTATTAAACAAACTACAATCGTACTTCGTTTTCAAGACAAACTAAATTAAGAGTATTTAATACAAAAATTCATAAAAACAAAAGTTTCTTATCTTTTTTCCCTACTTGAGGAACTTCAGGTTTGACTTTTACTAAAAATCTGTGTAATATCTTTTCTTCTGCCTTCTTCTCATGATGTTTCGGAAATGTTAATTAAATTAAGAGATTGAGAACCAACAATGTAATTTTCGGAACAATTACTGGACAAATTATTCAATCAAATAATATTTGTATACTTCTATTATTACATAAATATTAACATAGTTTTTTTTTCAGTATCTCCACTAATTTATATAGTATTTATTAAACAAACTACAATCGTACTTCGTCTTCCAAGGTAAAATAACCAGAGTGAAGAAGAAACGAACTTGGTTAAGTAAATGAAAAACACTTAAATTGGGGTCATTTTCACAAAAAAAAGTTTTTAATGTAATTTAAGCACCTTTTCTAATATTTGGTTGTAACAAGAACTTCTTTAATTTCTTTGCCTTCACTGCAATCAAGGTTTTCTCAATCTTCCACTGAAAAACTTTCATCTTCTACATTCAAAAAATAAATTTCTAACATTTTCTTTATTGACAGTTTGAGCTATCTGGTTAACTTTATTTTTAATGTTACTTGATTTTACTGCCTTCGTTATATTGAAACTTTGTTATCAGAGGTAAATTTCACTGAAGTATGACTGTATCTGATTGATTATGCACTTTAACTTATGGAATTAAAAATTAATTTTGTAAATTTATATTAATATAACAATTTTTTTTTTCGTTAATACAAAGGTTTTACAAACCTAATAATTAGAGCTTCACTTAATTACACATAAATTTCATCATCTTCTTAACTAATGTTCACATACATTTTTTTTATGACAAAACAATCTACTTGCCCATATATATGTTTAATATAACTGAAACTACTGAAACAAGTAAATTGACTAATCACAAAATTATTTATTGAGAAAAACTTTACATAAACCTTAATGAAGAAATTAGATAAAATGTTTATCAACTATTACATTAAATTCTAATTTAGATTATTATAGTATAGATTTATTTCAATTATCATAAAAAGTAAACAAAAATAAATTAAAATTTACATTAAATAAATAAAAAAAAGTTCAAGTTTATAATTTTTATATTTTAGAATAACAATTATTAAATTTTTACTTACAAATGTTTGTATTATTTGTTCAAATTCTATAGAAATTTTTTAAAGCAATATTTTCTAGATCTTAAATTAAATATGAATCTACTGTCTTTTATTAGCAATGTGAAGAATTTAAAACTCATTTAAATGTTGTTTGTATTACATTTAAAAAACAAATATATGAATTATTGCAAGAAATAATTATAATTTATTGTATTTAAAAATTAATTTGTGATAAAAAGAAATATTTATGTGATTTTTGTCTAACATTTAATAAAGTTGGAAGTATACTAGTGGTAAAAATATAATGGTCTCTAATACGAAAATTGCTGAGTGTGGGACTTGTGCGCGAATGCGAAGAAATTGTGGGAAGTCCATTAACACGAGGATGAAATAAAAGAGAAGAAAAAATAAATAAAAAGGACCGGTTCCATGTAGATTTATGGTCGATAAATTAGCTGGAATTGTCCGAAATAAATTAAATTATTAAAGGGTCCTTTTTCACGAATGTAATTTAATGAAGTCAAATGATAATGTTTTATGATGGATGCGGTTGCAGGCAATTTAACACGAAAGGCCGAACCCCATTGGAGGAGCGCGACGCGTGCGAAAGAGAGAAACCCAAATGCAATAAAATACGGTGTCAAAATTTTGGTGTTCTATTGACGAACGTGCCGCAATTATATGTCATTATGCATGGCTGGACGTTAATAATTCAAAATAATTTATTGGCAATGGAGGGGTGGGTGTGTGTATATGTGTGTGAGGGTTTGATATGTGCATTGCCCCGAGTTCATTCATCCTGACGTTGGGGGTAGATCTTTTAGGACAATGCATATAACGTAATGGAACTAATCGGTAGATGGCGTGCAGCACGTGACTCCGGGCACTGAATATATCCTGCTCGGAATCGAAGTGAGCCACCCCCAAGGAGCACGCTTGCTTTAACCCTCGGCTCCCGAAGTTTGCTTGTTAAACGAATTGTAATGATCAGCGTTTATAGAACTATAAATTATGGAGGACTGAGGACCTCTTTTTCCCTATCCCACACGCCCGCAGCTCTAACATCCATTCTCTTCCCACCATCTTCCCGGAAACGCAAAATCCACACATTCACATAACTGATTCACTTGATTCATGAAAATCACTTATCATTTCATCTTTCAATATTTATCTACAAAATGTTAACAAGTAAAGCTATTTACCTTAATCCACTTATCCTGTAGTAGATTTAATACAATCTATGACTGCACATACCAAAACCGATACACTTCTCAACTTAAATCTTTTTTTTCTTTTATATATAGTCATCAAAACATATTTATGATAAATAAAAATGTAAAAAGTATATTTTTTTACAGATCTCAAACCTAATAATTAGAGCTTCATTTAATTACACATAAATTTCCTCATCTTCTTAACTCATGTTTACATACATTTTTTATGACAAAACAATCTACTTTCCCATATATATGTTTAATATAACTGAAACTATTGAACAAGTAAATTGACTAATCACAAAATTATTTATTTCGAAAAACTTTACATAAACCTTAATGAAGAAATTAAAAAAAATGTTTATCAATTATTACATTAAATTCTAATTTAGATTATTATAGTATACATTTATTTCAATTGTCATAAAAAGTAAAAAAAAATGATTTTGTATATATTAGAATCACAATTATTTAATTTTTACTTACAAACGTTTGTACTATTTCTTCAAATTCTAAAGATTTTTTTTAAGCAATTTTATCCAGAATTGTAATTAATCCACTTATCCTGTAGTAGATTTAGTACAATCTATGACCGCACATATCAAAACCGATACACTTCTCAACTTAAAACTTTTTTTTCTTTTATATATAGTCATCAAATCACATTTATGATTAAAAAAAATGTAAAAAGTATATTTTTTACAGATCTCATTAAAAACTCGATCAATCAATAACTTCTCAACTTACAATCATTTGTACTTACGATCAAGAGAAATGTATATTTTCTTTACATATTTAGTCAAATATGTTCAGAATCATCAATTTGCACATACAGCAACAAAAATGTATCATTTTGTACAAATATCATATTTTTTTTCAGAGGCATCAATGAACTTAAAACCATTTGCATTGACGACCAAAATTATACAGATTTAATCGAATATAGACTTAGACTTAAATAAACTTCTATCATGTTGTTGAAAATACAGAGTAGTAGTAGTTGTTATAAGGGGGTGGCGTACATGCGAGCTTCAGCTAATTTAGCCAGAAACATTTTGCATATATACATGATTATAGTTTTTAAAAAGAAAAAAAAAGTGTTTATAGATTATGGGGTTATCTTAATGCTAGCTGGAAGAAGAAGATGGTTGGGGTAATCGAATATATTCAGTCATCAACTTATAAACACAACAAAAATCATAAAAAAGTCTAATTTTTTACTTATATCTTAAAATATAATCTGAAGAATTTGTGAATGCAAGTGGTTGTAAGTTCAGAACTTATTAATTGATACTTCTGTATATGTTTGATGATATTTATATAAAATGATACATTTTTTTTAATATTTCATCATATATATTTAGAGTCATCAACTTAGTTAAAGTTCTCAACTTACAACAAAAAAAAATCATTTACTTTAGAGATGATGACGATAATCCAGATTAATGCTTATAAATATACATTTATTGACTTATATATAAGAATATATAAGTTCTTAACAATTAAAAATATAATATAAAAGCTATTGATTTTAATATTCATATAACTTTGGTTGTTTATTATATTCATTATTTTTATCAAATTCTACTTACAAATATTTCGACTTGCGTCCAAAGTTGTAGAATGAAACAGCTTAGTATTAATAAGATTCTTAATAACAATTTGCAGCATTTGAGAAGTATTAAAGAATTTTCTTTTTGACCGGACGATAAGACGCACGTTCCAAAATTTATGGGACGAAATTTATAGTTACTACCTTCGAAACATAAAACTCTATCCAATTTTAACTGGATTTACCTACCCATATTACGTCTTTGGTCCAAAAATTTTAAAATATTAGTAAATAAATTAGTCTCTATTTGTGTGTACTCATACAAAAGTATGTTTGCCTTGACAAAATGTCGAACTTTTATGGCTGATATCTCTACCTCTGACATTAGACATGTTCAATAATATAATATTGTAGCATAATTAATCACTTAGGTTTAGAGATGTGAACCGCATACATTTCAAAGAATTAATGTAGACAATTTTTTTATTGTAAATATTTAACTCATATATAAGAAACAAATATTGCCTCAAACTTATAAATAAACAATATAGATTTTTCCTAAATTATTAATTAATTACTTATTTGCATATTCAATTATTAAATCTATAGTATAAAATACTAATAATTAGTAGTCATAGCTTTTGTATTTATTTTATTATCTAGTTTGTATACTATTTCATTATTAATTTTTTTATCATAATAATATAAATGTGTAGTATTATATTTCTGTATTTAAATACATGTGACAATACGCATGGTTTCTATTGAATTGTATGGGCTTCACCCATCTGGTGACATGCACATGTTTTTTTTTTCTCTTGCAGCAAAGTCTACAATAGTTCCATAATTACCAAGCATATTAATAGTTACTGGATAAAACGTTTCCATTTTTAGTATTTGTGTACATCCCACTGCGACCTTTTGATCTCTAGCAATCAAACGTCTATCAGATGCAGCGACTGAAGAGAACGACGCGCATAAACTATGTAGTCTCCGTTAATACCGGAGCTGTTAAATTTTAGTGCACATCCTTACGGATGCCATTGATGTAGAATTAGCCGCAACTATGGTCGTGCACAACTTGGCCCATTGTTTCCTCAGCAAATTGCCGGTAAGTAGAGCACATTTCAACCTTCCATTCAAAGTTCTAAATAATCTAAAATCACACAAAGAGAGAAAGAATAAGAAATAAATAAATAAATCAACGCAATCCGAATTAAATTCTTCGCAAAGTTCGGAAGCAAAGGCCACTTTAAAAGCATACCAGTATTGTCAATTTTTTTATATTATTACTCAGTCGCGGAGGGAATATTGGAAGGATGAGAGCGGGAACTTCTTTAATACATTTCCACCGACGCTCATCTACTTATCGTTTTCCCATATTTCTGAAGACTTAAAAATACATTTCGTTTCTCGTTTTTTTTTTTATTTTGTAATGAAATAAAAATCGTGCCGTTGGGTGGGATTTGCGAAGATTCGGAGAAAGGAAAGTATTAGATGAAGGTGGATTTGCTCCGGCGAATATAAATATATTTACTTGAAATTCGGTCAAAGGGTAAAGTAGCTTATATACATCTAAAGATCGTGACTGCCGAAAACGAGTATAGCAAATGATTTTTGGATTTATATTTTTTGTATTTTTTAATTTAATTTTTAATTATAATCCAACCACACCTATTTAGTGATTTCTTATAAGTGAAAATTGACAGATGTCATTTCAATGACAGCTGTCAATAATATATTTTTTTACCATATAAGTAGTTGGTACTACTGGCATATAATTCAATAACCAACTACTTATATGGTAAAAATTTATATTATTGACAGCTGTCACTGAATCACTAAATGAATTTACTGATATTTGTTCGTATTAATAGATAAATAGAAATTATATTATTAAATAAATACAAAAAAAATCAATCATTTTTTACAAAAATTTTGAATTTAGAAAACAATTCAAAATTAGTTACAGTAGAATAAATTTACTATAAATTTTTTTTTAATAATATTATATAATTTTAATTCAATTTTTCATTATGAAAATCCTATTTCATTTCTTTAGAATTTTTTAAATATTTATAAAAAAAAGATGTATATTATTTTACAACAAAAATAAGTTATAACACTAATTGGTCTTAAATAATGATAGAGCATAATAAACTGATAAGCAAAGCATATTTTATGCTCATCAATCTTCGTTGTTCATTTGTTTTGCTCAGAAATGTGTCGATAAAATGAATTAAGTGTGTGTTTATGTTTTCATTGGCAACTCGATAAGGGAATTCCGTGCCAAAGACTTCAACTGTTTCAGTTCAAAGTCTGAATCTATGTATTATCTTATCTCTTTTTTTTTCAGTATGTACGAATCATTAACCTTGTTCAAACATATAAATATAAATAAAATAATAAAGATTCATTAAAATCTGTTTGTTATATTGATTAATTATGAAACATTTCATTAAATAATAAATAATAGCAATTTTTTTTAAATTTTTTGAATTTTTATTTCAAATAAATTAACTAGGTAAAATATATAAAGATTTTTTGATTAATTCAACAAACAAATATATACAAATTATTTTGAAAACAAAAAATCACAACAATCTTAATAATTAATTAATTTATTACTTCCAAATTAACAACTAATTAGAGAGTATAATCAAGAAAAGTTACTAATTTTTTATGGACTAGTAATTATTATATATAAAAAATTCTTATTTTTTTATGTACGTCATCAATTTGTTTCTATTTCTAATATTTTTTTCTTTAAAATCTGTCCTTTTTTCAAGAAACAGTAAATTATTCAATAAATGATTGTGTTATGAAAATATTGGCAAAAAGAAAATTAATTATTATAAATAAAAATAAATATTCATAAATTTTAATGGAAATAACTGTAAAAAAAAAACTATGGACAATATCCAAAAATGTAAATCCATTAATTTAAATTTAATGCAAAGATCGACGTGAACTTAAACAGTTTTAAATCAACTTTAATTACCGTCTACCCCGTTTAATTACCTGGACTTTTCGTGTACGAAACACGTAATTTTTTTTCTCTCCTTCTTGTTCATTTTTTTTTGTACTTGTGACGCGGCAATAAACCGTTTATTCCATCCAATTCGAAGCTGTACACTGTAAGGAATGAAGCGTACACTTAATCTCGAAGATCTTGATTAAAATTTTTATGGTGCTAACGATGATTGGCTTCGCGTTCCGATCGCGTTTAGCCTTCTTTAAAACAACCATTTTTTTCTGATGAATAGTCTCAAGATAATATAAGAATCAGATGATTTTTTTTCTCACATTATTATCATACTTTTCTGTACTTATATTTTTTGTGTGTGTGTCTTGATACGTGCAGATACATTCGCGCAATTTACATGGAGGCAGGAGGAGCATTCGACACTGGCGAGAGATTAGCACTTCGGGACCGATAAATTGCAGAGAGCCAAAATTTGATAAAGTGTTAATTGCGAATAGGGGCGAAATCGCATGCAGAATAATAAGCACCGCCAAGAAGATGGGCGTGAAAACCGTTGCGGTCTACTCGATCGTCGATGCTCATGCTGTAAGTATCAAAAAGAAAATCATCAATTTTACAATTATAATTTTAAAAGTATTAATATAAAAACGTTACAAAGTAACGAGTTTTTTAAGTTTTTGTTTGTCTTTTATAAAATTGTTTCATTCTTTAAGAAATTTTATTGTAGAAGATTTCATTGATTAAATATATTCAATATTCATTTGCTTTAGATTTTCATTAAACTTAAGAATAAATGTAGATACAACTAATTTATTCAGCTAATTTTAAACTATTTTCTTTTTTTATTTAACTTTTATTAGATAGTTCCATACTTTAAATTGATTCATATTAGAAGAAGCAAATGTTCTTAATATGACGTTTTCGTTCAACTGAAGAACACATTTAGATACAATTAAAATTCTAACATATTTTAAGGGTTATTATGTGAAACATATTTGGAGTTGTTTCTGTTTTTAGTTATTTCTTTTTATTTGTTTTTTGTTAGGTATTTCAATACTTGAAGTAGATTTATATTACAAGTAATAAATGCTCTTTCTATGAAGATTCAATCCAATTAAAGAACAAATTTATCTTCAATTATAAATTTATTACAAAAATAGTATTATTTTTTATTATTTTTATCCACATTTTATAGGGTATTTCTATTGATTATCACTATTATTAAGAAATAATCCAAATGAAAAAAAATATATATATGATTAAAACTGAGTATATTTTAATTGTAATAATAATTTCAAATTTCAGTCTTTTATTAAGTATTTCCATTCATTTACTGGATGGAGCAATATTTATTAAAAGGATTTGCTCCTAATTGGCTACGGAATACGGAAGCAACAAGTTCTTATTTATATAAACTTCATAACTGAAGAACAAAATTTAGATACAATTAAAATATATAACGTTGTAAATGAATACAATTATTGTTGTAGTATTTATTAAATAGATGGAAAATATGTTAATTATCTAACATATATGTGATTAATTGTAAGTCCGAATAAACTTAATCGCAATACTACTTATATAATAACAATAAAGGTAGAAATAACAAAAAATTATAGAATAATAATGGTTTGCTCATTTATATATTATGCAGGAAAAATAATCCTAATTGATATGGTTTTGAAACAGAAAGATGTTACTTTTCCCAACTTTATAAATGCAAATCCTTTAAATTTAAGAAATATATAAAATTATGCAATATTTCTTTGTTCTATTTGATTTTGATGCAGTAATGTTAAATAAAATAATTAGATCACATACAAATTATAGCTTTTTTACATAATTAACACTATTTCCTGATGAATACAGATTTAAAACTATTAGAAATTGTTCTTGAACTTCATAAGTCTATTTTGGGTAGAATGTGTAAATAATTTACTTAAATATGGTTAATCTTATATAACACATTTAATCACTTGCATTATATCATCATAAATTATAAATGCATTTGAAATTAGTAACTTCATTATACAATCATATCCATATACAAATATTCATAACTTAGAATAATAATAGTTTGCTTTTCTCTATATTATGCAGGAAAAATAAACTTATTTGATATGGTTTCATAACAGAAAGATGTTACTTTTCCCAAGTTTATATAAATGTTCGATAAGCAAATCCTTTAAATTTATGAAATATATCAAATTATGCAATATTTCTTTGTTCTCTTTGATTTTGATGCAGTAATATTAAATAAAATAATTAGATCACATAATAATTACTGTTTTTTTTTACATAATTTACAATATTTCCTGATTTAAAACTATTACAAATTGTTCTTGAGCTTAATAAGTATATTTTGGATAGAATATGTAAGTAAACTTAAATATGTTTATTCTTACATAACACATTTAATCACTCGCCTTATATCAGCATAAATTATGAATGCGTTTGGAATTAGTAACTTCATAATACAATCACAACCATATACTAATATTCATTACTTCTTAATTAATGATTGAGTCAATCACATCAAAGACATTTCATGAATTTTAGTATTATTTTAAGAATACTTTTATTTAATTGATAATAAGCAAAATTTTGTTTTATAATAACATACAAAGTGCTATTAATGAAATATTTTACATAATTATCTACAAAATAATGATATGTTTAATATGCTGTATAAATATATTAAATATTTAAGTAAAATTAGGATTTACATCACGAACAGCTTAGAAATCAGATTGTTGAACGCATTGCACAAATTTAGCTTTAAAACCATTGAGAATTGCTGACTAAACAGATTATTTTTTCTTGTAATTGCAAGAAACACGTGAAAATGGCAGATGAGAAGGTGTTGATAGGAGGTCCTGAGTCCAGCGAGTCGTACCTGAACATAGAAAGGATAATTCGGGCTGTTAGATCGAGCGGATCGGAAGCTGTCCATCCCGGTTACGGCTTCCTATCGGAGAATGCCAATTTCGTGGAGGCTTTGGTGAGTTGTTAAATTAATTGATGGTTATTGTCAGTGCCCGCTTTTATATTTGCAGGAGCGCGAAGGAATCGCGTTCGTCGGTCCCTCCTCTGAGGCCATTACCAGGATGGGCGACAAACTGGAATCTAAACGGTTGGCCATCGAAGCCGGCGTTAACACCGTTCCGGGATTTGATGGCATTATCAGAGACTCCGCTCATTGCGTGGAAATTGCAAACGAAATCGGCTATCCGGTGATGATAAAGGCGTCGGCCGGAGGCGGTGGCAAAGGAATGCGGATCGCCAGAAACGACCTGGAGGCGAGGTAACTGCTATAATATACACATCACAAGAATATAATGGAAATGTTTTAATTAAATCTGATTCTGTACGTTTGTGTGTATTGCGAGATAGGGATGGATTCGCGTTGGCCGCTCAAGAAGCTTTAGCGAGCTTCGGTGATAATAGGATTTTATTGGAAAAGTACATCGATAATCCACGCCACATCGAAATCCAGGTGCTTGGGGACAAGTTCGGAAACGCCGTTCACTTGTTCGAGAGGGAATGCAGCATCCAGAGGAGACATCAGAAAGTCATAGAAGAAGCTCCAAGGTAAATTGGTTTGATCCCAAATATTTCATCTTCGTTAATTAATTTGGTAGTACATTTTTAGATGATGCAACCAGAAGCAGCATGGGGATGCAAGCTGTTTCTCTATGCAAGAAAATTGGTTACCACTCAGCTGGAACCGTTGAGTTCTTGGTGGATCAAAACAGAAACTTCTATTTCTTAGAAATGAACACTCGATTGCAAGTTGAACATCCCATTACAGAATGCATAACCGGGATAGATTTAGTTGAGCAAATGCTGCGTATTGCTAAAGGCAATGAGTTGAAGTTAAAGCAAGACGAGATCAAAATCGATGGTTGGGCCATCGAAAGCAGGATCTACGCTGAGGATCCGTACAAGAACTTCGGTTTGCCGAGCACGGGGAAGCTGTACAAATACCAAGAACCGAAACTCGCGAAAGGCATGCGCTGCGACAGCGGAATCCAGGAGGGTTGCGAAATAAGCATTTACTACGACGCAATGATCTCCAAATTAATTGCACACGCTGCGGACAGGAGGAGCGCCATCGACAAAACCCTCGAATCGCTCGATTCTTATGTGATCAGAGGTCTAAAACACAACATCCCTTTGATCAGAGATATCCTGACCGAGCGAAACTTTTTGCGCGGCGATATCCATACAAATTACCTGTCCAAAACGTACGGCGGAAAGTTCCAAACGAAACCTCTGCATTGCTCCGAGAAAGTCAATTTGGTATCAATTACCGCTGCATTGTATGCTGCCTGGGATTGTAGAAACAAAACTCTTTTGAATGGACCCAATCTGAAGACGCAAAGCGAATGGGAATTATCAATAGAACTTCTAGAAGAGTCCTACGATGTGAAACTGCTGAAAACTGCGGACACCACCACCATTCGAATCGGGGATGAAGTTTTCCAAATCACAAACGGATTCAATCTCGTTAATCCCATCATAGAAACGAGGATTAATGGAACGCCGATTATAATGCAACTCCTCTCCAAGTGTCCCAGCGGGGAATTCAAACTGATGTACGCTTACAACTTAAATTCTTTTTATCCACTAATTTATTGTTGTTGCAGTTATAAAGGGGAGACTCGTCGCTTGAACGTCCTCACCAAAAGGGCTTCGGAACTCCGTCGCTTCGTCCTGGTTAAACCGAAAATTGATTACTCCAAGATCATAAAGTCTCCAATGCCTGGATTGGTGAAATCTGTGATGTGCGGTGTCGGCGATTTTGTCTCCAATGGACAAAATCTCTGCATAATTGGTAAGAAGGACTCGTTTTTCTCTCGTTTGATAATATTTATTTTTTTTATTTTTGAAACCCCGCAGAGGCCATGAAAATGCAAAACACGTTGTCTTCAGATGCGGAAGGAGTTGTAAAAGAAGTTAATGTCAAAGAGGGGGACGCCGTTTCTGATGACGACGTACTCATTATCCTGGAATAAGTTTTTAATTAAGCGACGAAGGCGAAAACCATCCGCACCGAAACCACAACTTTACAGTAATTACATTCTTGTATTATATATTAAGTATTTAAGTTTTAATATAACGAAATTTCTTTTATTATTATTATTTCCAAATGTAAATATTTGACGATCCTCAATAAAACAAATGCAAACATCAGTTTGGTTCTGAATGTTCAATAAATTTAATTAAAATATTCTGATAATAATCCAACAGTTTCTGTTTTATTAATTTAATCAATAAGTTCATTGTTTTTTTTCTTATCCGTCTGACCTTGAGAAAATAAACATTGTATTTTGTTATAAATATTCCCTAGCAATTTGTAAGTATAACATTTTGAGTAAATTATTATTGAAATATTAGAAATGAGTACTTTTGTGTAAAATATCTCTAATTTATATAATCAGAATCCGCACTATACAATTGACCTTGAGCAGTAGCGGATTAACCATTAAGGCAGTGGTCGGCAAAGTGCGGCTCCAGAACCGCATGTGACTCTTTGGCTTCTTAAGTGCGGTTCTGACACAAATATCCACGGAGGCGCAAAAACATTCAAAACTGACTTACTCAAAGTTTTCAAGGAGATGCAAGCACATTTATAAATATTTATTAAGTATGAAATTTAGTTTTATTTAGTGTACTACTTATTTAGTGTAATAAAAGTTTACTAAACAAACAGATTTGTCTCCCATTTTTTTTTAAATTGTTGCAATTTGGCTCTTTGACTATTAAACTTACTAGTTTTTAGAAAACAAGCATAATTTATTTAATTTTTAATTATAATTTAATTTAATTATACTAATGTATACTCTTCATTATTATAATATTTTTATTTGTCATTATTAATTGACATTAAAAAATAATTAATATTAAAACGAATCGAAATAAAAAAAAAATAGTTATTTTGGTTACAGATAAATTGTTAAATACTTACATTTTCAAATGTCATTAAAACTGTTAATTTTGTTAAATTTACATGAAAATGTAAAGTAAATAAGTTATCGTATGATGATTAGTAAGATCATTTTTATTGGAAATACATAAAACGTTATTTGATCAGAAATTATCATTCAAAAAGTTATCAAAAAATATTTGAATGAAAATATTATTTTATTAAAATCTTTCTTGGACACAATTATGACTATAGCCAATTGGAACATACAAGAATTATGTTCATAACAATTGTTTTTGCGCCAAAATTGTTGCACATTTGAATGCATCCAAATGTAAATAATGCAACGGCGGTAATCCAGTATTCATTAAATTCGATGTAAACCGCGATGAGGTCAGGGTTTTGTTGGACTGCACGCAATAAATGCTTATTTTTAATAGATCTACGTGAATTTGTGTGCACGTACGGAATAATGCGACCGCCCGTTTATTAATAATGCAGAATCCGAAAACATATTTATTTATCTTTCTAGTCGGAATCATTGGATATTCGCATTTTCGGCCGCAAATACCGAGAGCTGCCGAAAATCCGAACGAACAAAAAAAAAATCTATGTATATGAATGGGGATGAACGAAAAAAAAAATTGTGGAACACATAAATATCACTGTGAACAACCATTTAATAACGGTTTTAACTAAAAGCCCAAGTGCACTTATTTGTTTTATCAGTAAAAACAATAATTTCCATGCTATTAGTCCTGTCTTTTTTTCATTGCATTTTTTTTAACTTTAGTAGGGAAATATTTATATTATATAAGTAATTACGTCAATTTTAAATACGTTAATTATTAAACACTAAATTATAGAAGTAATTAATCCTAATTATTATACTTTGGTAAATACGATTATATTCTTGAAACAAAAAATATATGTAAATTTAATCAACTTTGAACAAATATTTATTGCTTAATTTTGAGTGAATTTTTTTTTTCAGATTAATTATATTATCTCAATAAAAATAATAATAAGAAAATGCATCATTTTTTTTAATAATTTTTCTAATGAAAGATTTTTGCAAGAATTCATGTAATTTTCTACTTCAAATAAGTGCAGGAAATTGTCAAAGTTCATCAAATAATATCCTTAAGATAAAAATGAAACAGTCATACCAAAACAAATAAAAACGCTTTGGTACTGCGCGCTTTTGTTACTGCGCGATTGTGTGTGAAAATAATATATTTATCATGAAGATTTTACTCAATTTATTACATTTTTAACAATAATTCTATTACAATAAAAGACGCACTTTACTTTTCCTAATGAAAGGTCCTGATCCTACCTAATAGTAACTTTATTTATATGCCGTTTGTCTTAAAAATTCTGCTGCTTAGGAACCACAAATGCCTTAATGCGGACCTGCGTTACATTAATTATAATCAATTAGAAATAATTAGCTTATTCCACTTATTCCTAAGTAATTCATTAATATTGTAATTAATCAAAACTTTAAATAATGATTAATTAGTTTTCTACTAATTTCCTTCGTTTGTACACGCTCATCATTATTTTTTTATCCCGTGGTAACTTTTAATAATGAATAATTACCAGAATACGTATATAGCACTTAGTATCAGTTGGTACTCTTGACTTGCCTCATCTTAGTTTAGCTCTAGAGCCGCATGCGGCTCTTTTCATAAGAAATTGCGGCTCCCAGCTTCATTCCACGTAAGCCAGAGGTGGAATGATAATGGAAATGTTAGAAAATTCATTTCACTAGCAGAAATTGCGATTATAGCTACGTGCGGCTCCCTAGACAAGCAATATCTTAAAAATAGCTCATTGTTTCAAAAAGCCTGCCGACCTCTGGTTTAGTTGCAATAAATGTATTTTAAAAAAATAGGGATGACAAACAAATTGTACTAAACCTTAATTTTATATATAAACTGCACAAGTACTAAAAATTACGTAAATTCAAATAAAATACGTTCTAATTTTATTATGTATGAAAATATGATTTCTGATATTTCTAAATTGAAAATGTTGATAAAATCTGTAGACTCCGCACAGAAAAAACTAACACAAGAGTTAGCAGTGCGTTATGAACGTTTGGTTGCATAACGTAATTGAATTATTGTTTTTCGCTTGGTGTGTTGGACCGTATCGGTGAAGATACCGACCGGTGATTTATGAAATGATGAGTATTTCAACCCTTTCGTTAAAACAAAACTAATCAATAAATTTAATTACCGCCAACCGCGTTCGCTTTTGTCGAAACAAAATTAAGATAAAATTGGGGGGACGGGTCAAAATTTAATTTGTGTTTGTCCATTTTACATTTTTATTACATTTCGATATTTGTTTTATGTTTATTTGTATTTTATTATTTTAGTTTATGGAATATTTTCAATTTTATCAAAAAAAAAAAAACAACAAATACGAACACGGTGCGTGTACATAATTCAGGGGATGCTCGATTAATTAGGATCCGGATACATATTTTGTGTCATTCGTCATTTGCATGTCCAATTTGCATGATAATGTCGCGTCCCGGACAAAATAACGGAATTCTCTCTATACCATTCATAACTAATTATTCTAAATACAACTGGATTAGGATTGCGTTACGGAATATTTTCCGTGTCGAATTGACGTTTCGAATTGAAGCGATAGTTCCCCCAATTCTAAATGAAATTTGTGTGCGTGTGTATTTTATTTTTGGGATTCAGATCCCTTTGGGAAAGTGGTGTGGTGGATGAAGATGGGGTTCTTTAATCCTGTTTAACACCGGGCGGAGTCCGCAAGGATCAGGATAACGGCCACATCTGCTCCTTATTTATATATATATATATATCTACAAACCGCCCCTACGATTACTTAGGATGCGTGCAAATTCTGTGCTACTGCGCCCGTTAATCAGAACTTAACCGCTGCTATCGGAAGGGCCGCTGCAATCCGATGTTACATCGAACGGATTTAATGCGCGAACCGCGTTAATCAGTCATTACAGATAAAACTGGACGCTGTGACTCATCGAAAAATACGCTATGATCAAAACATAAATCAATTAGTCCCACTTGAAAACTATATTCAATTCATCTACGCTCTCCACCATTATTCTCTATTAATCGCAGGATCCAGATCACTAAATCATACCCAATTTCATCCAAACGCCAGACACATCTGTAAATACACACACACATACAACTCTCATATTATATACATATACAGTTGTACTTCGGTTAATGTTACCTCTGATTACGAAGCTTGCATATAAAGGAGTCAGCAATTTTAAGCAAAATATGGCGAGAAGTACAAGAAGAAAACAACATCAAAGATGGCTCAGTCAATAAGTATTGAAAATGTTAGAAATTTATTGAATACAATAGGTTATGGATTCTATTGTATATCTGAGTTCATGACGCTACTTTAATAGAATATGTGCACATTTTGTAAATTTATTTTTTCCCATTCTTCAAGTTATTTCAAATATTGTTAATAAGATGTACTATAAAGTAGAGGTTCTCACTATATAACAGCTGTCATTTTGACATAAGTGACAGCTGTCATTTTGACATATGTGACAGCGCAGCGCTACAAGGTTGGTTCTTGCGACAAAAATGGAGAAACGCTGCTATATCTTACAAAACATTACTTATGTAAATGATTAAATATTCGCAAATATTTATTTGAATTATATTCGTTTTCTAAAAATACCAAATAATAAAATACAATTTAATCGATTTATTTTATTGCCTGAACATGGTCATTCCAAGTCAGCATTGTGCATTCCAATGTATCTCAACCTTAAAGATGTTCGAAATACTTTTTTTGTTGAGTCTCACCGAACCTGACTGGTTTATACCAATTCGTCATTTTCTAATTCATATCTCAAGCATATCTTAAAAGCGTTGAAATGCAGCCTTTGCTGATTGCATATGTTGCCATATTCTTATATGGCAAAATAGGAAATAGGACCAAGGACACATCCTTGTAGAACGCCTCAGCTTAATTTGTATTTCCTCCAATTTAATATAAAACTTTTCATCTCAATCACTTTAAATTGATATCGATTTTTATTCTAAGGTTTTTAAATGTGTCCTCAGGTATTTTTGCAATTTTACAAATGTATCCCACTCAAATTCCAACGTAAAAAATTTAAACGCGAATACTAATAGTTTTATAGGAAGATTGCGAGCACATTTTAAGTAAAAAAAAACTTAAAAACAAACAAGTGGGCTACTACTGTTCACTTGGATTAATATATTTATTTCTTTTTGTTTTGTCAAAGTCCTCTTCAATATAAACAGAAGTATGCTTCGAATTTACATCTTGTAATTCTGTCGGAAATAAAAATACCCAATTATTTTATTAAATTTGTACACTAATATTTGCTTACATAATTACTTATAAATTCATATATTGCAAATATAAAATTATCAGGAAGGATATTGTGGTAATTGAACTTATAATTGTTTTTATCTTAAAAAAATGCGGCAACAAAATAAACTAGGTATAATACGAAATTGTGTTTCGTTTCGTGTTCAAAGTGAACGTGTGTGTGTATGTGAATGGATGTATATCAAGTTGTGATTTGAAAATGTTACTGTTCCTTCTGTGTTTGTGGTTTGGTTATGCTGAAGGAAGAAACTGTGAAATAACTACGGATTGCAACTTGTACTGTAACTATATGATAGAATTAGGAAATTCTACTATGTGCAAATATTTTAAAAATGTCAGATTGACACACTGTAATATTCAGCAACTGCAGAAACTGAAAGGATTAAGGATTATTGACAATTTGTATATAAATGATAGTAATATTATGGAACTAGAAACAAAATTATTTGATGTAACCATGGTTTTCAATATTCTAAATCTAGACAATAATCAAATTAAGGGTATACAACAAAAATCGATTCCTATAACTAATATTTTATCACTAAAAAATAATTTTATTGAAACGTTAAATGCAAACATGTTTTTTAGCATATCGTACGTGAAACAGTTGTTTCTGAACAACAATCGTATAAAAAAGCTTACGGCATTATCACTTAAGGACTTAAGTCATAACCTTTTAGAATATTTCGAAGACGAGTCAATTCCCATCGTAAAATATTTGTACCTGAATAACAATAAACTGGTATCAATTTATTCTAAAATGTTCGTTAATATCTCGAAATTAATCATTTTCGATGTGAGCTGCAATAGTATCAACGATATATCAAAGATGAACTTTCAAAATACCATTTACTATCTATCAAATATAAATATGAGCTACAATAAAATTACTCACATATCACAATAATTTTGCAAACATAATATTTATAATCAATGTTTAGGACGATTCGCCAAATCATCAACGCATTTAACGGTAATAAATTTATAATAATATCATGACCATATTTTTCCGACCATAAGACAGGCAGCTCTGTTTTTTACATAGAAAAATGAACTTAAAATTTGTTACTTCGGAAATCTCTTGGGATACATTTGTATCCCACATTAATTACAATGGAGCCTCGCTGAACGAGCTTAATCTACAATCTTACTCGTAATGCAAAACACTCAATAAAGAATCAATTTTTCCCATATAAATTAATGTTAAATACAATAATTTGTCTATTCCATTATTTTTTAGATATTTTTGCAAGGGTTAAAGCCGTTGTGCAAAGAAATCACATATAAAATGTCTGAACCCCAGTTTGGAAAATGATGTAGCATGCACACAATTCGGTCTTTTATTCTCCTCCATATGTGAAAAATCGCTCGTTAAGCAAGTCATTTTTGTTACAATTTATTTTGCTCCTTAAGCCAATTACTCGTTATGCGAAGTTCCACTCTATTTGCTCATAGTACACAATTGAACATAATGAGAAGCATAATCATATTTTTTAATGTCATATTTAAGAATCCTGGAATACACTTGCATTGTCTCTTACCTTTAAACAGCTAATAGAATATTGTTTTCTAAAAATCGTATGCTGCTGGTATTTTAAAACCTTTAAAGTGATCATTAGTTTTATTTACATTATTGTGTTTTAGAATTCAGAGACGCCGATGGTGGATATTCATGGTAAGGATAAAAGTACTAACAAAATTGAACAATTGTTTGAAAGTTGATCACTATAGATTAGGTTTCTAAAAAATTAGTCGTTGGGAATCTTTGAATTAAAATATTAGTCACGTCCTCATATATTGGAAGAATTATTCAGAACTTCCATTTTTTTAAGTTTGCGGTAACATTCAAGCTATTTATATAATTTTATATAGAATATATGGACTAGTTACTCATCTTTATTGTCGGTCATACGCAGTGATCTATAAATATAAAAAAAATCTCTCTAAGCTTTAGTGTTAACATTACAATCATTCGGTATGAAACTTGTGCGGTAAAATGATCATATTACAAATAATTTTCAGTGTTATTATTGTTGGTTTTGATGTAACTTGTGGTATGGACAAAAGATGTAATTCAAATATTTGTGTCTATGTGAATTGTTACAATCGAAATTTCACGACGTTTAGAGATTGGAAATGCAAGAATGTAGATAATCTCAATTTAGTCAGTAATAATATTAGGGTATCTGAATTGCGAAAGTTGACGCGTTATATGATAAGAAGTGTGTATCTCAATAAGAAAAACATTTCTAATTTACCTAATTTTCTGTTTAACGGTACTCAAATTGAAGAAATTTATTTGAGCAAAAACAATATATCAAAGGTAACTGCAGGCACGTTTCATGGAATGGCACCGCTTCGAATATTATATTTATATGACAACTCGATTAAACTGATTGAACCACGATCGTTACCCAAAGCTTGGATGGTTGACTTGAGTAACAATTTACTGGAAACGGTTGACGCAAATATGTTTCTAAATATATCATATGTGAAAATTTTGTACTTGCATTACAATAAAATAAAACGTATCGATGAAAAAAGTTTTAAGGATTTGATAGGGATCATCATTTAACCAAATACAAGATTTGGGTATCAAATCTGTTCCGGCTGTTGAAACAGTGTCTCTGAGAGGGAATCAGATTTTAAATATAAATCGAAATGCGTTTGTGAATATCACCAATTTAAAAAATATTGATATTAGCTTCAATTGCATACAAGAATTGGATGTTTTGTTGATCAATAAATATTTTGGGAAACATTCAATTCAATTTGACAATTGTAGCTCAGTGGATATTGAAGGAAACCAAGAAGAGAATAAACAGTTCACTGAATCTTACGACGATATGAAGATTATTGAAAACCAAGGCAACGCATCAGATCAAACAAATGAAATGGAGAAAATAACAACTGAGAGTTTTCCGATGGAATGGAAAGTACCGTCAATGGAAACCGATGATACCTCTAAGAAATTCATCATTTACGCAGAGATTATAGGAATTTTGCTCTTGATTATAGCTATTCAAACAGTACTTATCATTTGGTATAAATGGCGCGCCAGTACGTTACCGTTTGTGGTCCCCAATTATAATTTAATAAAGATATACCTGGGACCGATGCTAATTAATTTCATTTAACTATTTACAGATCCCATTTCAAATACAGAGACTAATTTCGACAATGGAGAATACGTGGGTATGTAATAAAATGTTATAATTTCATCAAAAAAAGCAATTAATAATTCAATATATGTTTTTAGAACCTATAAACGAATATGAAGGTAACCAAGACAATAAACTTAAGTAATCATTATTTACAGTTAAGATCACGTTTCAGAAGTCAACAATTTTGTCATAGAAAGAGAATCCAATGGATGTAAGTTAATTAATACTTTCGTATCTCCAATCTATCGCATTAATTGAAACTTTCAGACATGATCCCTCGCTCAGATCTATGAAGATACAGTGGCCAAATTTTGTAATAATCCGCGCAATGTTTAATTTATGATGATCACGACGAAGTTACTATTTTGTTTCCTGTCTATTTAGAATTTTATATAAAATTATCTGACATTTATAATAATAAGTTCCATTAATTATAGTTTAGTCTCAAGGGCGGATTAAGTCATGATCTTTATAGACTGCAATCCAGGACAACTCGAGGGTCCCAAACAGTGTTAGCCCAATGCCCACAAAGTTAACTTTCCGCCCTTGCTTTGTCAGTTTCAAGTTGTCAGTTGTTTCTATAAATAATCCGTTATTTTAGAAAGTGGTTTATCACCCTTTTTTCATACATCGAGATATTTAAGGGTTTGCGTTAATATTTTTGCAATAACATTTTATATTTTTAAAAAAAATGTCATAGATATAATCATATATAAATAGATATTTTGTATATTTTACTAAAATTACTTTTAACTTATGTAAAGTAGACTTATACCACTTTCTAATAAAACGGCTCAAAACTTATTATTATTAATTGCAACAATACAAAAAAATCATAATTCAACATAATGAAACAAAAAGTAAACTGCTACAAAGTGTTATTGATAAAACTAATATTTTTTATAAAATATGACATTAACATTTAATTTTTGTATATATTATATTTTATACTTAATAATACTGTAAATTATAATCTATTGGAAGTATTAATCACAACATCCTTTTATTTGTAAGTTTGCGGTAACATTTAACTATTAAATCAATGATGAGTAATATGTTTAAGCTATTTATATTATTTTAAAGGAAATAGGTGAACTACTTCCTTATATTTAAGATTAGTTGTACTGATATATAAAAAAGTTTCATGTTTTCAGATTCAGTGTGAACATTACTATCAATCAGTTTGAAACGTGTGTGGAAAAATGATCGTATTAGAAATAATTCTCTACGTTATTTTTGGTTTTTATGTAACATGTGGAATGAACAAAGTATGTAATTCAAATACTTGTGGATACGTGAATTGTTATAATGGAAATTTCACAACGTTCGGAGATTGGAAATGCACGAATATACATTATCTCAATTTTATTAGTAATAATATTAGAATATCTGAATTGCGAAAGTTGACATGTTATAAGATTATAAAGGTGGAACTATCAAGGAATAACATCTCCAATTTGCCCAATTTTGTGTTTAACGGTACTCAAATTGATCAATTATTTTTGGATAACAACAATATATCAAAGATAAGTACAAACACATTTCATGGAATGTCAGCTCTGACAGATATATCTTTAAAGCATAACTCGATTAAGCTGATTGATCCTCAATCGATACCCAAAGCTTGGATTGTTGAATTGAGTAACAATTTACTGGAAACGATTGACGCTAATATGTTTGTCAATATATCATATGTGAAACATTTAATTTTGGATAACAATTACATAAAACGTATAAATGAAAAGAGTTTTAAAGGTTTTATAGGATTCAACATATATTTAAATTTTAACAAATTGCAATATTTGGGAGTAAAATCTGTTCCGGCTGTTGAAAGATTGTCTCTGAGAGGGAATCAGCTTTTAGATATAAACCAAAATGTGTTTGTCAACATCACCAAATTATCTTATATAGACGTTAGCTTAAACTGCATACAAAAACTGAATGTTTTGTTGATCAATAAATATTTTTGGAAAAATTCAATTCAATTTGACAATTGTAGCTCAGTGGATATTGAAGGAAACCAAGAAGAGAACAAACAGTTCACTGAAACTTACGACGATATGAAGATTATTGAAAACCAAGGCAACGCATCAGATCAAACAAATGAAATGGCGAAAATAACAACTGAGAGTTTTCCGATGGAATGGAAAGTACCGTCAATGGAAACCGATGATATCTCTAAGAAATTCATCATTTACGCAGAGATTATAGGAATTTTGCTTTTGATTATAGCAATTCAAACAGTACTTATCATTTGGTATAGATGGCGCACCAGTACGTTACCGTTTGTAGTCCCCAATTATAATTTAATAAAGATATACCTGGGACCGATGCTAAGTTAAATTTACTAATTAATTTCATTTAACTATTTACAGATCCCATTTCAAATACAGAGACTAATTTCGACAATGGAGAATACGTGGGTATGTAATAAAATGTTATAATTTCATCAAAAAAAAGCAATTAATAATTCAATATATGTTTTTAGAACCTATAAACGAATATGAAGGTAACCAAGACAATAAACTTAAGTAATCATTATTTACAGTTAATATGACGTTTCAGAAGTCAACAATTTTGTCATAGAAAGAGAATCCAATGGATGTAAGTTAATTAATACTTTCGTATCTCCAATCTATCGGATTAATTGAAACTTTCACATATGATCCCTCGCTCAGATCTATGAAGATACAGTGGACAAATTTTGTAATAATCCGCGCAATGTTTAATTTATGATGATCACGACGAAGTTACTATTTTGTTTCCTGTCTATTTAGAATTTTATATAAAATTATCTGACTTTTATAATAATAAGTTCCATTAATTATAGTTTAGTCTTAAGGGCGGATTAAGTCATGATCTTTATAGACTGCAATCCAGGACAACTCGAGGGTCCCAAACAGTGTAAGCCCAATGCCCGCAAAGTTAACTTTCCGCCCCTGCTTTGTCAGTTTCAAGTTGTCAGTTGTTTCTATAAATGAGCCGTTATTTTAGAAAATGGTTTAACACCCTTTTTTCATACATCGAGATATTTAAGGGTTTGCGTTAATATTTTTGCTATAACATTTTATATTTAAAAAAAAATGTCATACATATAATCATATATAAAAAGATATTCTGTATATTTTACTAAAATTACCTTTAACTTATGTAAAGTGGACTTATACCACTTTCTAAGAAAACGGCTCAAAACTTATTATTAATTGCAACAATACAAAAAAATCATAATTCAACATAATGAAACAAAAAGTAAACTGCTACAAAGTGTTATTGATAAAACTAATATTTTTTTATAAAATATGACATTAACATTTTATTATATTATAAACTTAATAATACTGTAAATTATAATCTATTGGAAGTATTAATCACAACATCCTTTTATTAGTAAATTTGCGGTAATATTTAACTATTATCCAAATGATGAGTAATATGTTTAAGCTATTTATATTATTTTAAAGGAAGTAGGTGGAGTATGAGGAAGTATTTATGATTGGTTGTACGTTTATATATATATATAAAAAAAATATTTTTCAGATTCAGTGTGAATATTACTATCAATCAGTTTGAAACGTGTGTGGCAAAATGATCATATTACAAATAATTATCTGCATTATTGTTTTTCTTGACGTAACATGTGGTATGGACAATGTATGTAATTCAAATAATTGTGACTATATCGATTGTAATAATAAAAATTTCACGATGTTCGGAGATTGGAAATGCACCCATATAGTTTTTCTCGAATTTATCGGAAATAATATTGGAGCATCTGAATTGCGAAAGTTAGCACGTTATAAGATAACATATTTAAATCTGTCTTTCAACAACATTTCCAATATTCCTAATTTTGTTTTTAACGGTACTCAAATTGATCAATTATTTTTGGAGAACAACAATTTATCAAAGATAAATGCAGACACATTTCATGGAATGGCACCGCTGAAAGATATATCTTTAAAACATAACTTGATTAAGCTGATTGATCCTCAGTCGATACCCAAAGCTCAGATTGTTGAATTGAGTTACAACAAACTGGAAACGATTAACGCAAATATGTTTGTCAATATATCATATATGAACATTTTGTATTTGGACTACAATTACATAAAAAGTATAGATGAAAACAGTTTTAAAGGCTTCATAGGGTTCAGAATAAATTTAAATTTTAACAAATTACGATATTTGTGCGCCAAATCTATTCCGGCTGTAAAAATAGTGACTCTTCGTGGGAATCAGATTTTAGTTATAGATAGAAATGCGTTTGTTAACATCACCAACTTGTATAGTGTCGACGTTAGTTTGAACTGCATACAAAAACGGAATCTTTTGTTGACCGAAAAATATATTGAAAAGGATTCAATTCAATTTGACAATTGCAGCTCAGTGGATATTGAAGGAAACCAAGAAACGAATAAACAGATCACTGAATCACAATGCTATGCATTAGATCAAAGAACTGAAAGTTTTACGATGCAACCGATGGAAACCGATGATATCCATATGAAATTCATCATTTACGTTGAAATTGTAGGAATTTTGCTTCTGATTATTGCAATTCAAACAGTGCTTATCATTGGGTACAGATGGCGAGTCAGTACGTTACCGTTCGCGGTCCCTAATTATACTTTAATAAAGATAAATCAGGGACTTGTGTAATCTTAAATGCACTAATGAATTTCACTTAATTATTATTGCAGATTCTATTTCAAATACAGTGAGTAATGATAACAACGGAGGATATATAGGTACGTAATCAAAATAATCCGTTAAAATAAAATTAATATTTGTATTTTTTAGAACCTACAAACGAATATGAAGGTATATAAAGTAATAAACTTAATGTAATCATTATTTAATGTTAATATTACGTTTCAGAAATCAACGATGTTGTCATAGAAAGAGAATCCAGTGGATGTAAGTTAATTAATACTTTCCTATTTTCAATATACAGTATTAATTGTAACTTTCAGATATCGTCCCTCTTCCAGCTCTATGAAGATACAGTTGTAATAATCCGCACAATGCTTCATTTATGATTATTACGGCTAAGTTTCATTTTTGTCTATCGACACAAAGATTTCTGTCTAAATTAATTTTATATAAGATTGTATAATAATAAGATATATTAGGACTACCCGACAATGTCATTAGATTGCCACCAAGTAGTATTAGGCTAAGATTCCCAAAGTTAACTTTCCTCAGTTGCACGTTGTCAGTTGATTCTACAAATGAGCCGTAATTTGTGGAAGTGGTATAAGAATATTTTTTCATACATCGAGATATTTGCATTAATATTTATACGATAACATTTTATATCTAAAATTCTTTTGATTAAGTAAATCAAGAAATCCATCAAATTCCATAAATATAAAAATTATATCTTACTAAAACTACCATTAAAATAAACTGCTCAGAATTTATTATTAATAGTTTAATTACTTAAACTAAAACTAATATTTATTCCATTTAATTGGAAGTTTGCGATAACATTTATCTATCATCAATGAGTAATATGTTTATGCTATTTATATTATGTCAAAGGACGTAGGTCATATTTATGATTGGTTTCACGTACTGATATATAAAAAAAGAACTTTAGCTATTTTACTTTTGTATAATAAATACATGGTACATGGAATAATGGAATTATGTATAAATAATTTAAGAACTTTAAATAATTGATTTTTACAAAATTATAATGAGGTTGAATATATTATATAATGAGGTTGAAGAAAAAAAAAATGTCAAAAATAAAAATATTAAGAAAATTGGAGAAATAACATCGATTTTTTTTTTAATAAGAAATGCTAATATTGGATATTGATGAGAATACTTTGAAATTCATCATTTACGCTGTGATTATATTAATAATTAATAATTATGTTCATAAAGCGAGATTTATAAAAGTAAAACTTGACTTAATTTAATTATTGTCGTAATTCCCATTTTGCACACTGACCCAACAACTGCTACTTCACAAATGCTACAAGCCAGCCTTATTAACATCGAAAACTGGCTATAAAAGTGGAGAATTATAGCCAACGAGGCTAAGTCGGTGCATGTGATGTTTACTATGCGTCGACAGTCCTGTCCTCCAGTCCTATTATTAATGAGGCCAAGTACGTTGGCATGTAACTAGATTGACGCCTTACTTCCTTACTTGGAAAACGCATATAGCAACCAAGAGAAAATGTCTCAATCTGAAGGCTAGGAAGCTGGACTGGCTAATAGGAAGACACTGTTGCATATCAACAAAAAACAAAGTGCTTCTGTATAAAGCTATTCTAAAACCGATATGGACCTACGGCATTCAGATTTGTGGATCTGCCTGTATCACCAGTATTGATATAAAACAGAGATTCCAGTCCAAAACATTGAGGAAGATTACCAATGCTCCATGGTTCTTCACAAACGATGACATCCATAAGCAAGCTAACATCAGTTTCATCAAGGAAGAAATAGCAAAGGCTAGCACAAGATACCATCATCGGCTACAGAATCACATAAAACAAACTGGCTACGGAACTGATGCTTACTGCAGATCATCGTCGAAGACTGAAGAGGTTTAAACCGCAAGACTTACCCAACCGATTTTAATAATCAATAAATCAATGTTTGTAAGTTGCTGGATCATCTCTTCATTAAGTATTATAATGTCCTATTTTATTTTCTTTTTACCACATTTGTAAAGCTTGATATCTATGTTTATAAAACTTTTTAGAGATCATATATATATTATTTTAATTCTATCAAATTAATTAAAATTTTCAGATATGGTCTCTAGATTGAATCATTGATGAAAATACAATATTGGTATTATCACTAGATTGCAGATCTAAAATTTCTGTTTTGACACTATATTTTATGTACAATACATATAATGTTAAATTGTAATATGGACGGAAAATCTATGAACAATATACCTTTTTATAATAATTATTAACAGTTAAAACTTTCATAAATTTCTCAAAAACAATATTAGAACATGTCAATTTATTTTATGGTTTTCTTAAAAAATATGTCAACATTTTTTATTTAAAATTAAGGAATCTAGGGCGACTAATAGCAGAATGGTTTCAATATATTACTGCAGTTAACTTACAAGACCACAGCCAACCAATAAATTAAAAAATCAAATCATCATAATGGTAACTACTGGGAAAAATTATTCATTTAATGTTAACCGCGATCTTAAATTTAATCAATGTTCACATTGATGAAAGATTGTGAAAAAATTATACGACATAAAAAACGACATAGGAAAAACAGATTAAGTCTCCTTGTAATTTATATAATAAGGAGTCTCAATAACATCAATAACCTCCAATCGATGTTTACATCACGTATTATCAGTTATTTACAATTTAAATTATACAATTTAATAAAAAAAAACACTTATCACTTATTACATTAAATTTTGTAAACGTATTAAAAAATTGCGTAAGAGGATGTTCAAATAAATCATAGTGGTGGAAATTTGTTTTTATGTTCGTGAACCAGAAATGCGCATTCTATTATAAAACTCATTCAAAGTGAGAGTGTGTTCATAAATGGACGTATTTAAATTTAATCGTTGTGATTTAAAAATGTTAATTTTCCTTATTTTCTTGTGGTTTTGTAATTTAAGTGCTGAAGGAACAAAATGTGAAATAGATGAAAATCTATGCGAACTGTATTGTCGCTACAATGCTACATTAGAATTAGGATATTCAACTGCATGTAAATCTTTTTACATTATTGAATTTGCAAATACTGATATTGATAGTAACAAATTGCAGAACTTAAAATATTATTCATTTGTAAATCTCTATTTCGATCAAATTAACAACATAGAAAATATACGTCATGCATTCAAGGGATTAAACATTAATAGCTTGTATATAAATTATCATAATATTAAGGAATTGAAAACAGATATGTTTGAAGAAAGCGGACTTTTCGAACGTGTATTACTATATCGGAATAATATTGAGGTTTTACAACGAAAATCGATACCTAAAGCAAAATATGTAAATTTAAACAATAATTTGATTAAAACGATCACTCCTAATATGTTTAGTGACATATCATATGTGGAAGCTTTGTATTTAAGTAATAATCATATAAGGACGATTACAGCTTTATCACTTATAGGTTTAAAAGGAAATACTTTGGATTTAAGCTATAACTATATACAAGAATTAAAAGATAGCTCAATTCCCGAAGTAGAAGATGTGTTCTTACATTATAATAAGCTGGTATCAATACATTCGAAAATATTCGTTAATATTTCGAAAATAGACATACTCGATGTGAGCAACAATATTATCAAAGACTTTAGCTTTCAAAACTCAAGATTCTATAGATTAAATATGAACTACAATGAAATTACGCGCTTATCGAAAACATTCTTTTCGGGGATGAATGTGCAAAGGGAAGTTTTACTATCAAATAATAAGATTTCGTCATTGGAAATGAAATCAATACCGTTAGTGAAGAATCTAGATTTAAGTTACAATTTTCTTACATGCATTGATTTTAATATGTTTACCGATATTGATCAAGTCAGACATTTGGATTTAACCTACAATTGTATGGAGGAGATTAATTTGGAATTTCCAAAAGAAGTGAATGTTTCATCTGGATTATATAACAAAATGTGCAAGTGGAATGATATACAGGAAACGAAGAATGAAATGAGCGAGTGGAATGATATACAGGAAACGGATAATGTTTTGTTTCAAAAAATAGACTTTATATAAATGTATCAGTTATTGTTGTTATCGTTTTACTCGCTATTATAATAGTGATTATATATTCATGTGAGTAAGATCAAAGTCATATTGGAAACATAATATTTTTAATTTTTGTTTTTGTTTTATAAAACTAGAATAATAATAAAATAATATCCATTTGTGGCAAATCAATTTGTTTATAATTTTCTTATGTAATTTTGTTCAATTTGGTTGTTGGTAATTTTTTGAATTAAATGTTATCATTATTGCAGTTTTATAGATAATGAAGAACATGAAACAACGAATAATTTTTGTTTTATAAATCATGAAATTAGAGAATTGCGAAAAATAACAACGAATTTATTAAGAGATTCATGAAACCGAAAGACAGAAATCCGATATTCTTTATTTACACCTAGTTTATTGAAATACTGCTACTTAATATTGCAATTTATATAATGTTTATCTTAATTTCACTTATTTATTGTTCTAGAACTAGTTCCAAATGCATGTATGTAGAAACAAATATTTCAATTAATAATTAAATATTGTTTATTTATTTTAGATCCTGCATACGTACATGAAGGTAATTAAGGCAAAAAAACTTAATACCATAATTAATTATAGTTAATATGAAGTTACAGTGATCAACAATAATGCTGAAACACAATGAGAATCAGATGGATGTAAGTTATTTATTTTTGTCGAATATTCAATGTAATGCATCATCTCTTACTTCCAGATTTGGTCCCTCGCTCTATAAATAGGCAAGAAATAGGGGATGAAATTTGCAATATTCTGAGCAAAGCTTAAAACAATATAATTGGAGATAATCACAGTGCATTTCTTTTTTTTTATCTATAAACACGTAAATGCTTATATAAATGCAATATATATTACAATTATGTTAAATAGCATCAATAATCCATAGTCCTTTGTAATACTTATGAAGAGTTACAATTATTTTAATGTATCTATTTTTATATTTGTACAAAAATATTCTTATTAATGGAATCGCAACGAAAATTATGTATTCTTGTTATATTTCTCCCTATTTGTGTATGTAACTGTGATTATTGCTATAAATATAATTATTAATTATTATAAACTTCGCAAATATTCGTAGTCGTTAAAAATAGTTGGTGATAAATTTGTAAATAAAAATAACATTTTATAATAAGTAAAGTTAATTTAATAGTTTTCCTAAAATATGCAAATCATGATCTTTTCAAATTATGTCCTTATTTAGAAAAAAAAATATAACTTATAATAAACTAGAACGGTAAAACGGTAAAAATATGTTAATTAGACAATGGATATATAAAAAAAATAAATTAATCCTTATGATTTATGTAATAAGAAAGCTCAAAAATGCACGTGCAAATGCAAGTGTTTATAGTTTTGATACAACTTTTTGTTAGATGATTTAGTAGTCCTATAACTACAGATTGAAGAATCACATTACAGTGGAACCTCGCTTATCGAGCACCTCGCATAACGCTTAACGAGCAAAAATAATTTTAAGAAAAATAACTTGCTTAACGAGCGACGTGTCGCATAACGAGTGACGATGAGAAGAGAAGTCCCGGATTGCGCGCCTTCTAAATCTTTTTTAAAACTTGTGTACACATATTATGTGTATTTTTGAATATGTTTCACTATACGAGTAAAAATTTTGGAACGGATTAAACTCGTTAAGCGAGGTTCCACTGTATATAAATTCTTTATTTTATTTTTATTTTTGCATTGAGTATATTATATTATTATTAATTATTTTTGGTAAACAGTTAAATATAAAATATATAACAATTGACTAAAAACAATTATGTATTGTTTTTAGTCAATTGTTATATATTTTATATTTAACTGTTTAACTTGTCTAATTAAAATGAAGCTAAAAATACAAATAATAATTTATTACAAATTTAGATATTACATTCTTAAAAATGTAATCTATTTAATACAATTTAATAGAATTTAATTTTCACAATTCAATTAAAAATCACTGATCTTATTTTGTAAAATTATTAAATAATTGCGGAGGAGGACGTTTGAATTAGTTCACTCATAGTGGTGGGAATTTGTGTTTATGTTTGAGAACCAGAAATGCGCGTTCAATTATAAAACTCATTCAAAGTGAGCGTGTGTTCGTAAATGGACGTATTTACATACAGTATAACGTTGTGATTTAAAAATGTTAATTTTACTTCTTTTCTCGTGGTTTGGTAAATTAAGTGCCGAAGGAACAGAATGTGAAATACCTGAAAGATGCTTTCTACTTTGTCGCTACAATGCTACATTAGAATTAGGATATCCAACTCATTGCAAACATTTAAAAGAAATCGAATTTCAATACACAGATATTAATACAGAAAAATTTAAGAATTTGAAAAGTTATTCATTTGAATATCTCGATCTGAAGTCAATTAATAATATACAGGATGTACGTCATGCAATCAAGGGATTTAATATTCAAAAACTGCGTATATATGATCATAATATTAAGGAATTGAAAGCAGATATGTTTAACGAAAGCGGACCTTTCAATCTAATATCACTGGCTTTGAATAATATTGAGGTTTTACAACGAAAATCGATTCCTAAAGGAAAATGGGTATTTCTAAACCACAATTTCATTAAAACGTTAACTGCAGATATGTTCACTGACATATCGTATGTGCAATATTTGATTTTAAGAGATAATCATATAAAGAAAATTACGGCTTCATCACTGCTGGGTTTGAAAGCAGTTAATTTGGATTTAAGCTATAACCATGTAGAAAGTTTAGAAAACAGCTCAATTCCCGAAGTAGAAAATGTGTACTTAAATCACAATAAACTAAAATCAATACATTCTCCAATGTTTGTTCATATTTTGAATACAAACATACTCGATGTGAGCTACAATAATATCACTAATTTCAATTTTAAAAACTCCGAGTTTGACGTACTAAATATGAGTCACAATAAAATTACGAGAATTTCTCAGAATTCTTTTTCGGGGATGAAGATATTAGGAACTATATCCTTATCAAATAATCTGATTGAATCACTGGAAATGAAATCAATACCGTTAGTGAAAAATCTAAATTTGAGTTACAATTTACTCACATCCATTGAAGAAAATATGTTGTCCGATAAGGATCATCTCAACTACTTGGATATAAGAAACAATTGTATCGAACAGATAGATTTTAAATTTATCAAACATGTTTACATTTCTCTTGGAATTTTTAACGAAAGGTGCAAGTTCTATGGTTTGACAAAAACAGATATTTTTTTTATATCGAAAAGTACAGTTTATGTAGTTGGGACATTCGTCTTGGTAGCATTTTGTGTCGCTATAGCAATGATTATACTATATTCAAGTGAGTAAGTTCCAAATTATATTGAAAACATAATATTTTGAATCAATGTTTCAGGACGATTCACCAAATCCACAAAGGTAATTAATTTATAATTATGCTTACTTCTGATACAAAATTTGAATTAAAACAATTTTGTTTGAAATAATTTTTGTGTTTCAGAACGACGAGATGCCGATGGTGGTATTTAATGGTAAGGATAAAAAAATCATGATCAATTACTAATTTTTTACTTTAGCTTTTTGAAATGTCTTAATCGAATGCATGCAAACTTAAATAATCAATGTTTTCTTTGGCATTGAAATTAATGATGTAACTAAGTCAGTTGAAGAATCATGAAGCAAGATCAAAGATGATAAGGTATGTTTAATTAATTAATTATTTAATTTAAATAAATAATTAATTTAATTTTGGTTCATTATTTATATATACAGAATATTTGTGTTTCTTGATTCATTTTTTGTATATCATAATAATTTCAAATTCATCTTTTACGTCCAAATTATACGAATATTAGTGCTGATTATCTAATTATTGTTCTAGACCTTTCAAATGCAGTTTCTGACGACAACAACAGAAGACTCGTAGGTACGTAATAGAAATTTGCCAATTGAAACAAACAATTAATAATTGTGTATTATTATTTTTTAGAACCTCCACACGAATATGAAGGTAATCAAAATAACAAACTTATGTAATTATTTACAGTTTAGATGACGTTTCAGCGATCAACTATATTGTTCCAGAACGACGAGAATCCAACGGATGTAAGTTATTTGTTATTTTAGCAAAATCGATCTATTGCATTAATTGAAATTTTCAGATTTGGTCCCACGTTCAGATCTATGAAAATACAATAAACAGTGGACGAATTTTACAATATTTTGATAAAGTAAAGTTAGGTGGCTCATATACATATCCCTCGTTTTACACGGTACTCTCTTTACACGTTTCCGCTTTTACGCGGTTTTAAAAAAAAGGAATAAAAAAATAAATAATCTCTCGTTTTACACGTTTTTGAAACATCATAATTAATAATCAATGGAATTATGCGATTTTTTTACATTCTTTTCTATTTACACGCAGTTATGTATTCAAGAAGTTACAATTTTAATTTACATATTTTTCAATGGAATCGTGTAAATCTGGGGATATTTGTATATTAAATTGCATTAATATTACTTTTACTTTTATATTTTTTTCTAAAAACGATTGAAATGTAATCTTTCTGAATATGTACACAAACCAATTATTTTTAACAATTTGCGTTAATATTCACAAATTTGTATTTTTTTATAAAACATGTTATAATTAGTTTGTAGGTTAATAATTAATTTGTATTATTTTGTAATTATATAATTGTGGTTTGTAAATAAATTATTGCTTATATAAACAAAATGGAATGAAAGATAAACATTTCTTACTTTTATAGCTTTTCTTAAAATAGACATAAAATTATTATTTACAATATTTATTTCTCACATTAATAATAACAAACATAATTGAACACATTGGCCGCAGTCCTTCTTATTTTATGTTTCTCTTTTTATAGAGAAAATATGTAGTTTTCAATGGCAATGAAACACATGCATAGGAACACCCAAGGGGCCCACACTAAGACAAGACATTTTCCTGTACTTGAGGCCTCTAAGCCAATACATTTTTCTGTAGTATTTCAAAATTAAACACATAATCTCAATCTACCACTGATTGTCTTCATCATTAATAGTAATCTCAAAATAGTCATTACACAAAACGATTCTCTATTTTCCTTTGTCAAAATTGATATGAAGAGTATGATAATAAAATATTAGAATTTTGTTAAATATTTTACAGAAACAATATGTAAAAATAATCATTTCTTTCTAATTCTTAATGCAAAATTACAAAAAAAAAGTTTCGATTTTTTTTCTAAAAGTACTTCATAGTATTGCAAAGCGAAGAAGAACATTCTTTAGATGCTGCAGATGGACAAAGCTGAAGCACGAAGCAAATCTTGGAGAACTAGAACCAGAAACGTTCGTTGATGAAATTCTGAAGACTCAAGAGAGGTGGGACATCATAGAAAGATATTTATCATGAGTGCTTTCCATTAAGAAAAATGATGACTAAAGCCTAGAGAAGATCAAGGAACAAAGTGGTAGTAGAGACCAACATATATCGAAATCGAAGAAAATTACCAAAATTCCAGACCAGGATGCTGATGAAGAAGCTCTTCTCTTTAAGTAGTCATTCCAAAGTAACAGGACTCCACCGGTAATCCCTATTACATCTTCTTCAGAAAACTTTTTGGGACCACAAAACTCTGGATCACCAATTTTTGTATCAATTTACCCTCGTCTTTTCTAGGATAGAAATGCATCTTTATACTTTCCTAAGATATAAATGTATCTTAGTAAATATTAAAGGAAACTAATATAAAATTTATAGAATCTCAAGGGGATAATAAGATTATTGATAATCAAGACATCTCAAAGGATCAAACAACTGAAATGGTAAGATAGAATACAGGAATTTTGATATCCTTCAATACCAACAGTATTTACGATTTGTTTCAGGTGCGTTACCGTTCGTGGTCTTCAACTAAAAATGAATAGATATGAATCAATGGAACTGTTTCAATCTTAAATTTATTAATTAATTTCACTTAATTATTATTTTACTTCCCATTTGGAATAAGAAGTCTAACAATTTTATAGTTTATAATTTAAACACTGAATATTTTTTTAGGAATTGTAATAAATAATAAATAAAAACAATAAAAAACAAAATGGAATTAGAAAAATGAATACATTAATTAAATTTCACTTTTACTAAATATCAAAATGTACCGAAAGCCTTATAATCTTTATTTTTTTATAATAATATTTATTATAACAGTCACATAAACAAAACAAAACTTAATACATATTCATTAAAGTAATGAATTTAGTTATTATTGGAAATAGATAACAATAACTTAAAATTCATCATATACACCCAATTTTGCTTGTGCTTATTGCAAATTTCACTTAATTATTGTTCTAAAACCCCCTTCAAACGAAATGCCTATAGACATCAACAGAGGATTCATAGGTACATAAAATAATTTAATCCATTGAAAATCAATTAATAATTGAATAATTTTCTTTAGAATCTACAAACGACTATGAGATTCCGATGAATGTAAGTTATTTATAATTTTCGAATATTCAATGTATTACATTCATTCAATCTTTCAGATTCTAGTTGAAAATATATATTTTTGTAAATCTCATTTACAGTCACAATTATTTTTATGTATTTATTTTATTTTTATATAACAAAATTTATAACAAAATGTGTTTATTTGTATCTTTATATTTTGTAATTGTGGTTACTTCTATCAATTTTAGAAATTAATATTTATAAAAACTATTGCAAAATATAATGAAATCATCAGTATCTACGATAAAAATCCGAAAATGTCAAGACATTCAAAATCAAAGTATTTAGACAAAAAGTACTCCGAATATAAAGAGATATACGTATAAGAAATATTCTATAGGATTAAGATCTGTAGCTCTTGATGGCCAAGCAGAACATAAGATTAATTTTATTTTCTTACCATTATCATCTTAAAAAAAAAAATTCGTGACCTTAATTACATATACGTATTTCGTTGATATATTAAAGTTTTTCAACTAATATTGCTTATACAATAATCTGTCAGTTTTTCTTGTATTTCGATTACTTTCATCCTATCATTATACAATCTTCATTATGTTTTACTTTAAGTAAGCTGACAATTCTTGAAATCTGTCAATTTGCTGCTAGTTGAACTTGAGATGATAACAATCGCTCAACTTACCCTAATAGCTTTTTTTAATTAGATAAAAATCTCAAATTATTACCGATTAAACGGTGTAGAACAATTCTTTCCGTTACTAGAAGTTTATGTTAATATAAAAAATTCAAAAAATGAAAATGTTACTTATCGACAAATATTTTCCTACAGAAAAAATCTTTGCAATTGATTTGTGAAAGCTAATCGTTCTATTAATACAATTCAATAACAAAATTCTTCTATTTTGAAATGTTGTAGAGCTTACGAAAGATTGCATGGAAGGATGTTTGGATTAGATAATGGTGAAAATTTGTTGTTATATTCCGGTTCGAATTTTTATGTCGCATTCAATGTGAGCGCGTGTTCATAAATGGACGTGTTTAAAATAAATCGTTGTGATCTAAAAATGTTGTTATTCCTTATTTTCTTGTGGTTTGGTGTTTTAAGTGGCGAAGGAGCAGCATGTGAAATAACTAAAGAATGCAATATATTTTGTAGCTATAAAGCTACATTAGAATTAAGATATGTTACTACATGTAAACATTTTGAACTAATCAGATTTCAATTCACCGATATAGATACTGACAAATTGCAGAATTTGAAAGGTTATTCATTTGAATATCTTGATTTCCAGACAATAAACAATATACAGAATGTTAGTCATGCAATCAAGGGATTAAACATTCAAAATTTGCGTATAATTGATAATAATATAAGGGAATTAAAAACAAGTATGTTTGAATACATCAGACCTTTATCTTTAATATCATTGCCTAGGAATAATATTGAGGTTTTGCAACAAAAATCAATTCCTAAAGCAGAATGGGTATTTCTAATAAAAAATTTCATTAAAACGTTAACTGCAGATATGTTTACTGACATATCGTATGTGAAATATTTGATTTTAAGAGAGAATCATATAAAGAAAATTACGGCTTCATCACTGATGGGTTTAAAAGCATTTAATTTGGATTTAAGCTATAACCATTTAGAAAGTTTAGAAGACAGCTCAATTCCCAAAGTAAAGAATGTGTTCTTGAACAACAATAAACTGAAATCAATACATTCTCAAATGTTCGTAAACATTTTGAATACAAACGTTCTCGATGTGAGCTACAATAAAATCACCAATTTCAATTTTGAATACTCCAAGTTCGATATACTAAATATGAGTTACAATAAAATTGCAACCATTAGGCAAAATTCTTTTTCTGAGATGAAGATCTTAACAAATTTATCACTATCAAATAATCTGATTACATCGATAGAAAGGCAATCAATACCGAAAGTGAAAAATCTTAATTTGAGTTACAATTTACTTACATCCATTGAAGAAAATATGTTCTCCGATAAGGATCGTCTCAGATATTTGGATATAAGAAACAATTGCATCGAACATATATATTTTAAATTAATGAAAGAAGTTTTCATTTTATTTGGATTTTTTAACGAAAGATGTAACTTGAATGGTATGACAGAATCGGGTACATTTTTGATATCGAAAAGTACAGTTTATATAATTGGGACAGTCGTATTGGTTGCAGTTTTTCTCGCTATGGCAATGATTATATTATATTCAAGTGAGTAAGTTCAAAGTTATATTGGAAACATAATATTTTTGATTAATGTTTTAGGACGATTCGACAAATCCTCAATGAATTCAACGGTAATTATTTTTTTTATAATAATGGTATTTTTCATAAAAAATGATTATATTTCAGAAAGTCCAGACACCGAATGTGGAAATTTTTGGTAAGAATGCATTTTATATAGTATTAATTATTTATTTTAGTTTATGATATTATCAAATTTACGAAGATATTTGTCTCATATAAACGCATACATAAACGCGGTAACATGCTATAATAGACCATATTTTTCTAATATTTGATAAAATTAATTCTTAATAATTGCATTTTATTTATTGATCAATTTTGCATAGAATCAAATAGAAATATTTATAAAATATCATAAATATACTTTTTCTTTAAATATATGTTAAATTCTATATTTATTATATTAAGTTAACACGTATTTAACCTGTCATTTTTTTTTTACTTTGCATGATTGGCTTACATTTATGAAATATTTTATTGATGATTAATTTGTTTCAACTATTTATAATATTTTAGAGGAAATATGTGGCTACAATCTTATCATCAGATATGAAAACTGAAGCAATTTAAGATATTGCGTTAACATTATCATCATTTGGTTTGTAAATAACTCGATTAAATTTATAGATTCATAAATAAAATGTTAAAATATATGTAAACAACGGGTTTACAAAAATATACAATGTATCGATGAGAGCAGTTTTAATGGTTTGATAACATTAATATTATCTTTTATCATTAATAAAATTCAACATGTTAAATCTATTCCCTGTGTTATAAAAGTAGTAGTTAATGGAAATGCTTTTGTCAGTATTAATAACATATGACACATATTGACAAAAATTGTATTTTTTGTTGACGATAAAAAAACAATTTTTTTACTTAATTATTGTTGTAGATCGCATTTCAATAGCAGTACCTGAGGATTTCAACAGAGGATACGGAGGTACATAATTCAAAAAATACATTTACATTGTGTTTTAGAAGCTACTAACGAACTTAAAGCAAACTTACTTTTTTACTTACAATAAATTATAAATATTTATAAAATTTCATTAATTAATAATCATATTTATGGCAATAATGTCCGCATTAGTTTCCTGTTATTCAACTATGAGTAATTTGATGCAATATTTGATATGCACACTGAAATAATAAAAAAATGTAGTCTTGACATTAACATTTTTATCATTATGTTGTAAATAAGAGTTAAATTTCATATAATGCCTCCACTTGTTTCAATTCTCTTATATATGATCAAAGAGAAGTAAAGTTGTGAATTCATTTTTTTTCGTGATTACATGATTTGCATACGTTCCAATAATAATTATAAGTTAAGTCAGCGCCTCCCTAAAAACTGATGATATACAATAAGAACAATCTATTAAAAATATATTAATAATTAAATATTATTTATTTTAGAACCCACACACATATATGATGGTAATAGAAGCAAACAGGTTAAAGTAATACTTAATTACAGTTAGTATAATGTTTCAGAGATCAATAGTATTAATGCACAAGAAGAATTCAATGGATGTGAGTTATTTATTAATTTCGTATATTCAATGTATCGCATTAATTGAAACTTTCAGATATGGTTCCTCGCTCAGCTGCAATGAAGATACAATAAGTACAATTCATGTTTTTAGTAATAGTTCAGCAACATCAAAATATGTAATAAATTATATAAAAATATAATAGAATTGTAATAATAATAATATTTATTTATTAATGTAATAATTAACTAATTTATACAAAAAAAGAAACAATGTGATAGGTTATAATTTAAAAAAAGAATAATTTTTGAAATAACAAAAAAAATATGAATATTCTTCAACAAAATATGTTGAATAAGAGATAACGTTATACTTGTTTTGAAGGAATTCTGTACAGTGTTTAATTGATGATGATCATGGCAAATCTATATTTCTTTTATATTCTTATAATATTATATTAAAAAAAAAATATATGTAATAAAATTTGGAAAACAAACAAAAAATAAGGCTTACGGTTAAATTGAGATTTTATATTTTAGATTTCACTTGTTCACAAATTGTAAATTGACAAAAATAAACTCAATCAATATTTAAGCTAATTTTCTTAACATTATTTTTTCTTAAAACATCTTTTTATAAGTGATTAATACTAGAAACACAAAAGGTTATGGCATGACGGATATTTAATGTTTTGTCAAATGTCTTTCATATTAGCAGATGTGTGCATTTTATTTATAATAAAAGCCTACTTTATTGTTGTGTCCAATCACTAAGTTCGTGTACCACTGAGGACAATGACCTATAAGAACCAAAATGCAGAATAGTAAGATACAATCGAAGGCAGTGACCAATTGTAACGTCCCTTCATATTTTCAACTAAGAACTCAGACGCAGAATAGGCAGTTTCATCGAGACCAATTTCTGTTAAGAATATTGCTTATATTTTCATTTCAAACCCAAAATGCAGCATTGGCAGAATCCGTATAGGAGCAGTGACCTGAAGAGGAGCATCTTAAGGAGTAATTATTTGTAATTAGTCTTAGGGAGAACGTAAAAGAAAAAACTACAGATTCTTGAGGATAGACCTACAATAAAGCAAACACTTAAAATAATGTTTTAATAATATACTATAAGTAAAACTCGTTGGATTCATTATTTACCAAACTTAAGGATCCACAACGGACAATAGAAGGAAATATCATACAGTGTCCAGAATTCCATCCTAATGTCCAATTATTTTGCTGATTTATTGAAATTATTTAACTATTATTTGCTTATATAACAATCGGTCCATTTTCTTTCGTTTGAAAATGTGCGCTCTCTTCTGTATGACACTCATAGTCATATCATTAAACTACTCTCATTATGTTTTATAGTAAGCACACAATTTTTGGAATCTTAGCCAGTATTTTTATCAAGACTGTTTGACGTTCATCTGAAGAAATCTAATTTCACTTGTTAACCTTATTTAAATTATCATCATTAATTAATTATATTTTAGACCCCTTCATTAAAATGACTGCTTGGAAGGATGTTTGGGTTAGATAATGGTGGGAATTTGTTGTTATATTCCGGTTCGAATTTTTATGTCGCATTCAATGTGAGCTCGTGTTCATAAATGGACGTGTTTACAATAAATCGTTGTGATCTAAAAATGTTCTTATTCCTTATTTTCTTGTGGTTTGGTGTTTTAAGTGGCGAAGGAGCAGCATGTGAAATAACTAAAGAATGCGAAATGTTTTGTAGCTATAAAGCTACATTAGAATTAAGATATATTACTACATGTAAACATTTTGAACTAATCAGATTTCAATTCACCGATATAGATACTGACAAATTGCAGAATTGAAAGGTTATTCATTTGAATATCTTGATTTCCAGACAATAAACAATATACAGAATGTAAGTCGTGCAATCGAAGGATTAAACATTAAAAACTTGCGTATATTCGATAATAATATAAGGGAATTAAAAACAAGTATGTTTGAAAACAGCGGAACTTTCTATTCTGTAGGACTGTATAGGAATAATATTGAGGTTTTGCAACGAAAATCAATTCCTAAAGCAGAATGGGTATTTTTAAGCGACAATCTCATTAAAACGTTAAATGCAGATATGTTTATTGATATAACGTTTGTGAAATATTTGAATTTACATCACAATCATATAAAGAAAATTTCGGCTTCATCACTCATGGGTTTAAAAGCATTTAATTTGGATGTAAGCTATAACCATTTAGAAAGTTTAGAAGACAGCTCAATTCCTGAAGTAAAAAATGTGTTCTTAAATAACAATAAACTGAAATCAATACATTCTCAAATGTTCGTTAACATTTTGAATACAAACGTTCTCGATGTGAGCTACAATAATATCACCAATTTCAACTTTGAAAACTCCGAGTTCGATATACTAAATATAAGCTACAATAAAATTGCGACCATTTCGCAAAAATCTTTTTCGGAGATGAAGATCTTAAAAAATTTATCATTATCAAATAATCTGATTACATCGATAGAAAGGCAATCAATACCGAAAGTGCAAAATCTTAATTTGAGTTACAATTTACTTAAATCCATTGAAGAAAATATGTTCTCCGATAAGGATCATCTCAGATATTTGGATATAAGAAGCAATTGCATCGAACATATAGATTTTAAAATAATCAAACAAGTTCCCATTTCATTTGGATTTTTTAACGAAAGATGTAACTTGAATGGTATAACAGAAACGTATACATTTTGGATATCGAAAAGTACCGTTTATATCATTGGGGCAGTCGTATTGGTTGCAGTTTTTCTCGTTATGGTAATGATTATAATATATTCAAGTGAGTAAGTTCAAATTTTATTGGAAACATAATATTTTTTTATCAATGTTTTAGGACGATTCGCCAAATACTCAACGTATTTGAAGGTATTTAATTTATTATAATAATAGTATTTTATATTAATTTAAATTAGATTCTAATTAAAAAATGTGTTTTAGAATTCAGAGACTTCAAGGGTGGTACATTATGGTAATTATTTACTTTTGTTTCTTCTTTAAATTAAATGTTAAATGTAAATAACTCGTAATGGAAATTCAATAATAATAATAATCTTTATTAGTCACAATTGTAACCTAATCGACCTAAGTCTTTCCGCCGATGGAAATTAATTATAATTGAATTATTATTTGTATCTTAACATTTTAATCACATTTCATTTCCTTTTTTTACATTGGTTTGCGGTAACATTTATCAATTATTCAACTATAAATAATTTTATCTAATAAATTTTATCAATTTATTTTATTTTATAGGAAATGTAGCCACCGATTTCCTATAAAATAGTATTTATCATCAATTGTGCATACTGAAAAAAAATGCAGTTTGTGGTCTGATATATGCCTTTCAATACCGGTAAATGGTTAACCGGTTAACCAGTTTTACTGGCCAATTTGATTACTCTTATGTACCCAAAATTATCAACAAAAATCCCGGTATATTTTGTCTTAGGTAACATTATTATCATTGAGTTTGTTAAATTTCATCATTGTACATAGTTCTCACGAAACTTAATTACATTATTAATTGACATAAATCTTAAATTTAAAATGTAATTTTACTTAATTATTGTTGCAGATCGTGTTTCATGTGCAATATTTAGGGACAACAAGAATGATTACTTAGGTAAGTAATAAAAAAACATTTAAAAAAATTAATAATTGAATAACATCTTTTTTAGAACCTACAAATGATTATGATGGTAATTAAAGGCAAATAACTTAAAGTAACAATTAAATGCAATTATTATAACGTTTTAGAGATCAAAAATAATTATTCAATACGAGAATCACAGAATGAATGTAAGTTATTTATTATTTTCAATTAATATGTATCGCATTAATTGAAACTTTCAGATATGGACCCTCGCTCAGTTCTATGAATATACAATAAGCACAATTCATGTTTTTCTTAATAATTTAGCATCATCAGAATCTCCAATCTATTTATATGGTTATTGTATAATGTAACTGTAATAATAGTATTAATAGGTAGAAAGACCTATGGTCAATAACCCTTTGTATCAGTTGACTTTTTTGAAATTATATAAATTTATTTTGTTCTTTTTATATGTATATGTATATGTATATGTATATGTATATGTATATGTATATGTATATG